GGGGGGGGGGCCGCCTCCAGAGCCGCCGCTGGGTGGTCAGTGCCGTCAGAGGATGCAGACTTGCAGGGGAGGCCCGCTTCTGGAAGCAACCCCGGGCGCTCCCGGCCCCCGTCCCTGTGGAGGGCCCCGGCCAGCCTGGGGTTCGAGGTGAGGTGTCTCCTGAAACCCCCCGGGGAGAGGGGTCCCAGAGCACCAACAAGCCGCAGGGCGTGGCCCCTCAACCACTGAGGTCACCGTGTGCAGCACCAGACCTTCCACCACCGTTCGAGGCCCCCAGCCCTTCCCAGGAAGTGACTGGCTGGACTACAGTGGAAACTGAGAGACCCAGCACAGCTCCCTCGCTCGTACTGAGCACGTCACACACAGAGCCCCGTTTACACCGAAGCTGGAAGGAGGGAATTTTAAATCCTGACCTTGGTGGTCCTGGGCAGGGGGCCCCACAGCCTTCTGACCAAAGTAACTTGGGAGGTGGAGGGAGGGTTGAGGGTGAGCCCCTGGCTCTGTGGGCCTGGGGCCGAGTCCAGGCTGGGGGTGGGATCAAGCAGCAGGAAGGACACTGAAAGAGGGACCCCGGAGGAGGTCTCGAGGAGGTGTGGGGACTCATAGGAGGGGCCAGCAGAGCTCACAGGGGGAACATGTGAACTTGCTACAGAGAGCAGAGGCCCCCGGGGCTGTTGTCACTCGGTCCAGAGGGAGCCCGCCCCGCCAAGAGCAAAGGGAGGCCCCGGGGGACCCAAAGCAGCACCCCAGACCCAGAACGCTGGGCGCGGACCAGGCACTGCAGGGGTTGGGGGGCGGGGGGCGGGGCGTGAAAGCTGGGAGGGCACAGAGGCGGGCGCGAGGCGTCTGTTCAGCGTTCAAGTGGCACGGAAAACAGCAGCGGGAGGAAGCCAAGCCTGAGACCCCCGACAGTAAGGAAGGTCGTGGGGGAGTCCTGGGGCGCCGACCACGGGCCCCACACGACGGGTGGGAGAGAAACAGGACAGCGGTGGGGGTGCAGGCGGCCTCAGACCACGAGGGCCGCAGAGGGCTTCCCGGCCGTGCTGAGTGCGAGACGGAGGAGACAGGCCTGCTGGCGGAGGACGGTCGGCCGAGCCGAGGCAGGGTGGCGCCAGTCAGCAGCCGCCCCGCAGGACGGCCCCGGGCCCAAGTGACAGGCCAGGTGACCCTTCTGGTCACTGGGGCTGGCCGGCTTCAGCCCTTCCAGGCAGCCGCCCAGACGGGACTCCTGGCCCGGCCCGCTCTGCCCACTGCACGTGCCCGCCGTCCGCTTCCCTCGGCCCCTCGCTCCCACGTGCTGCCCGGCTCCCGGGGTCACGGCTCCGTGTGGCTCTGTGCACCCGGTGGCCGTGACTTTGGGCTTCATGTGTTCGCACCCTGAGTAAGAGGCAGCCTTCCCCAGGGCAGAGGCTGGCGCCTCAGCAGGCAGCCGGACGCCAGGGCCGTCTCCACGGGTGTGTGGCACACGTGAGGGCCCACACGTGCTGCTTCTTCCCATTCCTCAACTTCTCCGGGCCTCACTTTCCCGGCTTGTCAGGAGGCTGGAGGGGGGTGGGGTGGGGGGCGCCGGGGCTCCTACAGGCAGAGACGCGGGTGATCTCAGTGTGAGAAGTCAGATGGGGGCCAGCCTGCTCTGCCCGTGGCTGGTCCCGTCGGGGACTCTTCCTGGTGATGGACAGGAGAGGGCAGGGCCTGGCCTGCTGACCCAGGTGGCAGAGCAGGGAGGCCCCACTCCAGAACCATTTCCAGAACGAGGAGAGCCCACAAAGGCCCCCAGTCTCTTCAGGAGGGAGACGGGCCACAGACAGACGCGTGAGGCTCACTGGGGCCGGCAGGTTACACGGAGGGCCGTGGCGCCGTGTGCCCAGGAGCAGGTGGACAGGAATGGGTTCGCTGGCCAGGCTCAGGGCACGGAGGGTGGGGGCCTCTCACGATCCCAGGAAGCACCTTCCGGGAACCCACTGCCCGGAGGGCACAGGAGTGGGCACAGAGAGCGGCTGGCGTGTGCCGAGAGCCAAGCGTTGGGCTCACCCTTTCCCCGGGGGCATGCCCCAGCCTGAGCCCTCCCGCCAGGGGCCAGGGGATAAGGGTACAGACCAGGCAGAGGAGCTCAGGGGTGTCCCCGCCCCACTTGGAGCAGCATTTCTGGGCATGGCTCCAAACCGCAGCGGAGCCAAAGCACGAAGCGTAAAGCCCACCCGTCTGTGCCCTGAGCTCTAAGTTATCCGGTCAGCAGCGTGGCTCTCGCTCTGGTAGAGGGGCAGTGGCTCCGAGGGAGCGGCCCGGAGGGAGCCCATAGCTGGCAGGGGCCACCCGGGGCCCTTGGGGACAGAGCCCGTGTCCGGCTCCCCGGTGGCGCTGCCAGCCCCTGGGTCACCCTGGCCAGCCGTCCGTGGCCCCTCCCTTTCCCCCTGAGTCTGGCCGGGACCCTCCTTGCCCCTGGTCCCTCTTCCTCCGGGTCCTGGCCCCCTGTCCTGCCCTTGCCTCTGCCTCCTCTTGGCTGATGCCCCAGGGCCACCCCGCTGGCTGGCCCAGTGCCAGACCCAGACAGGATGAGAAGGGAGGGTGTCTCAAACCAGACAGAAGCTGGGGGCGCCACCCCACCCCACCCCATGAGGATCCGGTGTCCCCAACTCAGCACTTGTATTTATAGCTCTGCCCTGGCCCCCGGCCTTAAGGGGTGGGGCTGGGCGGGGGAGGCGGTCCCTGGGGGAGGGGGCGGGGGAGGGGAGTGTGTGCGTGTGCGAGGGTCGGGGTGTCCAGGAAGGGAAGGTGTCCAGGAAGGGAAGGTATCCAGGAGGCGTGGCCAGGTCAGGGCGCGGGAGGAGAGGGTCCCCGGGAGCGGGGAGGAGGGGGGTGCTGGAGGGGGGGGGG